CTAAACCTTATACCCAACCAATCGTATTCTTACATCTATTCCTTTGAAAATATTTGGATGCACAATCTTTGTTCATAATCTTGATCCCCAACGCAGTAAACTTGACCCGAGATCCATTAAATGCATATTCCTCGGCTACTCTCCTCACCAAAAGGGATACAAATGTTATTCACCTCAAAACAAAAAATTCTACCACACCATGGATGTAACCTTTTTTGAGAATCAACCATATTACCCCAAAGTTGGCATTCAGGGGGGAGAACACATATCCAATTGAAGTGGTAGAATCCCAACTTTTGGAACTTGAGCTAACTGAACCCAAACTCACTGCAGAGGCATCAAAACCTACACCTGAACCAAATGAAAATGCAACAGAAACTGTAGAACTTACATGTGGACCAGAAGAAACTGCGTTAGAAAATACAGAGGAAATTGCAGTAGAAACTGCAGCCCCTACAACAGAAACTACACCAGGAAACAACATGAAAGTGTACTCCAGGAAGAACAAGAAGGGAATAGAGTCCTGCACAACTCCAAGGCAGAACCAAGAAACCTCCAAGACTCCAGAAAATGGCGTTCCCTCAGGTAATACTGCTCCTAACTCTGTGAATGTTGATATTGATATTCCTATTGCGTTGAGAAAAAATGTAAGATCCTGTACCAAACACCCCATTGAAAGATTTGTATCTTATGGAAAATTGTCCCAAAGTTACAAGACTTTTGTAACAGCTCTTGACAATACACATATTCCAAGCAACATCCATGAGGCACTCCAAAATTCTGAATGGGCAGCAGCTGTAACGGAAGAGGTTCAGGCCTTAATTAAGAGTGGCACTTGGGAAATCACAAGCCTACCTGCAGGGGAGAAGCCGGTAGGATGCAAATGGATATTCTCCATGAAGTATAATGCAGATGGGAGTGTAAATCGGTACAAAGCTCGACTTGTAGCAAAGGGATTTACTCAATCATATGGAGTAGATTATGAAGAGACTTTTGCACCGGTGGCAAAACTAAACTCCGTTAGAGTTATTCTCTCTTTGGCTGCAAATTTAGATTGGCCACTCCATCAACTAGACATCAAGAATGCCTTCTTAAATGGTGACCTAGAAGAGGAAGTTTATATGCAGATTCCTCCTGGACTTGAATCATCCAGCACCGCAAATATGGTGTGCAGGCTCTGAAAATCCCTTTATGGCCTCAAGCAGTCCCCAAGGCCGTGGTTTGATAGATTGACTCGAGTTGTCAAGAAAGACGGGTTCAACCAATGCCAATCAGATCACACTATGTTTGTTAAACACTCCATGGAAGGAAAGGTAGCTTTGTTTATTGTTTATATGGATGATATCGTTATTACAGGAAATGATTATGATCAAATTGATCATTTAAAGGGTCTCTTGGCAAAGGAATTTGAAGTTAAGGACTTGGGACAACTTAAGTATTTTTTAGGGATAGAAGTTGCTCGAACAAAGGATGGTATCTATGTATCACAAAGGAAATACACCATTGACTTACTTCAAGAAACTGGAATGCTTGGGTGCAAGGCAGCTAATACACCAATAGAACAAATAAAAGGAAGAGAAGATGAAAGTCCACCAGCCGACAAAGATAGATATCAAAGTCTACTTGGGAAACTAATCTACCTATCTCACACTAGGCCTGACATTGGGTTCGCTGTAAGCTTGGCTAGTCGCTACATGTCAAATCCAACCGAGTCTAACATGAAAATGGCGAATAAAATCCTCCAATACCTCAAAGGCACACCAAGTCGAGGCCTCCACTTCAAGAGAAATTCAAACAGGGATATTGAAGTTTATACAGATTCAGATTGGGCAGGATGCTCCACAGACAGAAATCACAGAAAATCGACTACAGGTTATTGTTCATTTGTGTGGGGGAACCTAGTAACTTGGCGAAGCAAGAAACAAACTGTAGTGGCGAGGAGTAGTGCAGAAGCAGAATTTAGAGCTATGGCCCTAGGTATTTGTGAAGGAATGTGGCTTAAGAGCATGCTAGATGAAATCAAAATTCCAGTGAACCATACTGTGAGGTTACTATGTGATAACAACGCTGCTATAAGCATTGCAAAGAACCCAGTCCAACATGATAGAACAAAACATGTGGAAATTGACCGACACTTCATTAAAGAAAAAATTGATCATAAGATTATAAGTATTGATCATGTCCCATCATGCAAGCAAACTGCAAATATCTTAACCAAGGTTCTTCCAAAGAATACTTATGAAAATATCAAATTCAATCTGGGTATGATAGACATCTACCACTCAGATTGAGGGGGAATGTTGAAGATTAGCACATATCAAATCATAATCATTTGATTCTGATTTGTCAAGCTGTTACAAAACTGTGGTGTAAATAGATTTATTATCTATTATTCTGATTTCCTTATTTAGGTAGCAGCAATTATAGGAAATTATTTCTCTGTTTATTAACAAATTAGTGTACTGTATTCTATATATACCTCACAATGTAACCGTTCCAATATAATGAAATATACAACGTATTTCTATAAAATCGAATCATAATTTTACAACTAAACGAATTAACAATTAAAAGAGAAAGTAAAGTTTGCACACTGCAAGAAGACATGTCACTCACTACAAGCAAAAGTAAGGGTTCTTTTACACAAAGACTTTTCTCTCTTGAATTTTTTACTTTTTCTCTTTGTGACTTATTTATTTCATCTTTCTTATTTTCTTTGATTAAGGGCTTGATTAGAGTGAATTGTCTAATTTATATTTGAATATTATTTTATTATTGTTCTTGAGATAGTGGATTATGTTCTTTATCTTCTCTCATTCAATTTTTATTTTACAGTTTATTTATTGTATTTAAGAACAATTTGTTTTTAAGTTGTACTGTTTAATTAAGTTATTTCAACTATGTTACTGTCTGCATTGCAAACAATTTAATCAAACAATAAAAAAAATATATTAGATATATGTTTGATGTTCAATTTGTTATTGTTTTTCTTTCTATTATTTACTCTTCATTTATATTTACCTTAACCATCAATGACAATGATTGTGATTAGTGACCGGGATACATTTTTTCTTTTTTTTCTTTTTCAAACCACAATTCATTGTTTTTTATTTTATAATTTGTAAAGCAACTCTGATAAATTTTATCACTAAAACTATTAATTATTGTATTCTAAAAAAATAATAAAAGCGAAATTTATAAATTTTACCAACTCCTGTAAATTTTATTATTGAAATTCACTATTTTCAAGAGTCACTATCACCACAATATCTTTTTTTAATTTAACCAATGAAATATTTATAATTTTGTATATTTATCAGTGATATTTATAAATATTTAAAATTATTAGTAATATTGAATTTATCATGTTGGTGATTTATTAAATATTTATTTTAAAATATTTTAAATATTAATGATTTTATAATAATAATTATATATTATCAACAATTAAGATTTATCGAATGATCTAAAATAAAAATGAATTTATCCGTACGGATGCACGAATCTTCTACTAGTTATAATGAAAAGTTGAAACTTATTCTTTCTAATGGAAAGTTGAATATTTGTGAATGTAAGTAATATTTATTAAAATGAAAAGTTGAAACTTATTCTTTTAGAAAAAGTTGAAACAAAAAGTGACACAACCAAAACATGCATAACAATTGAAATCTTAAGATTCGACGTCTGATATTATTTTTTGTGAAGAAAGACATTAAGACTTATTTGTTCTGCAATATTAAGAAACTTATGTGATGAAATTTCTGGTGTTACATCATAATTTCTCATTTTATAATTTGTAACGAAATTCACATAAATTGTATCACTCAAACTATCAATTTATTATTGTATTTTAAAGAAACGAGAGTAATATTTATAAATTTTACCATTTTCTATAAATTTTATCACTGAAATTTATTATTTTTACGGGTCATTATCACCGTAATATATTTTTTATAATATCAATTATATATCAAAACAACAACCAAACATTATCAACTGATCTTAAAATATATATGAACTTATCTATGCGGACACATAAATCTTCTATTAATATTTGATAAAATGCATCCCAAGTGATCTGTTCTCGAAACAGGAAGTAACTGCATAAGGTTGGACTAAATTTTCTCTTTGATTAGTTAATGTTGGATTTATAATCTCTTTGATCCGAATTGAAAAGTGCTTTTCAACTATACGTAGAGAGAAAAATAGGAGTGCAAATTAATTGAATAATTTATCTTTATCTTCCAATGATTTAATATACTTAAAAAGTGATTTTTTAATGATAAAAATGAGATGAATTACAATTTATGCAATGTAATCTTTGTAGTTCAACCTTATGCAATAAAGTATCTGTCATTTCAAATGTAATTAACAATCATATAAAATACACTAATATTATCAACTATACCATGGAAGTTTGTTGACTTATCGTTAATCCGTTAAGTAATCAGAATCAATTAATGAAACTACTAATCAACTAAGAAAGCGGCTAATAAACCAACAAGGCAACAATTATACTAAATTCAATTATGTTATAATCAATTTTATCCACCGTTAATCTAAATTAAAGTTGACAAAATAGACCGCTCGCCCGTCCAGCCTTGTCCCACCTTAAATCAAGCAAAAAAAAGAACGAAGCGGACAAACCCGTTAAATAAAAATAAGCATAAAAATATAATCTGCTCACTTATTTATTTAATTTTTTTAATAAATTAATAATTTTTTTTTTATATTTCAATTAGATTTTTCACTTATTTTTTAAATAATTTACATTTGTCACAAAATCTCGTAATCTAAGATAAGGTAAAGAGATAAGAAAATCTGAAACGTGAAAGTAAACATAAAAAACATCGAAAGTGCTAGTACTAGAACAACATTAATCAGAAACAACAATGTCTTAATATCAATAGATACCAACAGAAGACGCTATATGTACAATGAAGTGAAACCTTCCATTCTTCACTCTCTTCAAAAACAGTAATGGAACTACACTGATAGGTATGGCAACTACTACACGTGTTCCCTTTGTTTCCGCTACCACACGTTTTCCCAACCAATGCCATAAATACTCCCTACTTGCACCGTCAATTCCTTTACCAGTTTCTTCTTCCTCATTAACCATTTCATCTTCTTCTTATCCTTGTTATTCTACCTCATCTCTTTCACTTCCAACATCAAGAACTCTTAAGGGTGTGAAGAGAGTTGGAGTTAGAACAAGTTCTGTTGTTGCTATGGCTCAATCTTCAAAGACTACTGTGCTTGTTACTGGTGCTGGTGGTCGCACAGGTTTGTTCTTTTTGTTATTTGCTTTCATGGGTTTTGTTCAAATTCTTTGCTTTTTGTTAATTGCTGTTGAAATGTGTGAAAACTGTTGAATTTGAATCTAGGGTTTTGGATTTCATATGTAGGGTTTTCTTGATATGGTGTTACTTTTCAGGGCAATTGGTTTATAAGATATTGAAAGAGAGGTCAGACCAATATGTTGCTAGAGGGTTTGTTAGGACAGAAGAAAGCAAGCAGAAAATCGGTGCTGCTGCTGATGTTTTTGTTGGTGATATAAGAGATGTTGAAACTCTTGTTCCTGCGATTCAAGGTATTGATGCTCTCATTATACTGACAAGTGGAGTACCCTTGATGAAACCTGGATTTGATCCAACACAAGGGAATAGACCCGAGTTTTATTTCGATGATGGTGCATACCCCGAACAGGTACTATTTACTCTCTGTTTGGATATGTTTGAATAAACATATCTATTAAACGAATTGATGAACATATCATAAGTTGTTTTCATAAGCTCTTCCAACCAGTCTCAAGTGCTTATGTTAGCAGATAAACTCAAATGAGTTAATCCAAACATGTTTACATTTTCCATATGTCTTACTTAAGTTGACAACTTGATTCCTTTTTATTGATATTTTAGTAATTTTTCTTTTATTAGGTTGACTGGCTTGGGCAGAAAAATCAAATCGATGCTGGTGAGAATTCATTCCTTTTTTCTCCATTAATCACAGATTATGATATAAACTTATGCATGTATGTTATATTGAAATTGTTTTTATTCCGCTTGAACAGCTAAAGCTGCAGGAGTAAAGCAGATTGTGTTAGTAGGATCTATGGGCGGAACAGACCTTAATAATCCTTTGAACAGTTTGGGTAATGGGAACATATTGGTATGTAATTATCCTTCATCATCATTCTCGCCTAGTTTTTAACGCAAGTTTTGTAAAGAAAGATGTTTTCGTATTGGTTGTAGGTTTGGAAAAGAAAGGCTGAGCAATATCTGGCCGATTCTGGTGTTCCATATACGATTATAAGGTGCACCAATCTCTATCTGATATCTATGATTACCATATGATTTTTACTCCCTAAAATGCATCAATAACTTAGTCTTTGTCTGAGTCAGGGCTGGTGGCTTGCAAGACAAAGAGGGAGGTATCCGGGAACTCCTCGTTGGGAAGGATGACGAGCTTCTAAAGACTGAAACCAGAACTATAGCTAGACCTGATGTTGCAGAAGTCTGCATCCAGGTAACTTTTTTCACTATCTGTGTATTGGAAACAAATAAGCTCTCGAGAATTCAAACTGTGATTCTGGTCGCTGGCATGGTTACGCTATGAGCCTTTATATTGCGGAAGAATCTGGCCATGCGGTCAAAATTGTGGTTGCAGAGACCTCAAAAACCGTTATATCGTGGCTGCAATTTTAAACCATGTTTATGTTTATCTTGCTCAAGTATGTGATTTGGATCTCCTTTGGTTAAACAGGCACTAAATTTTGAGGAGGCTAAATTTAAGGCATTTGACTTGGCATCTAAACCCGAGGGAAAAGGTTCACCAACAAAGGACTTTAAGGCTTTGTTTTCCCAGATTACTACTCGTTTTTGAATTCAAATGTCGCTCGTTGTCATTATCTTAAAAACCTTCTTATTTACATTCTGGATTGAACAATAAATCTATTACTATATCTAAAGCAAATTCACATGTGTTTTTGGCAATTTAGAAAAAGTTTGTATCTAAAGCAAATTATAGACTTCCTCAGTCATGTAATCCATGAGAAAAACTTATGTCTACTATCAATGCATCAATTCATTATCTTCATATTTCCTTACTAGTATATTCCCAGATGTTCATCATTGCGTATGATTGAAGACTAGTTTCATGAGACAAACAACTAAAAGCACAAAACTTATATACAAATTTCAAGTCATGTGCTCCCTCAATTTTCATTATTCCTGAAATACTGTTGCTGAGTTGAGATGAAGTTTACAGATGGCTCCACATCTCTCACCAACTTGACAGACAAGTTGAATGAATTGGTGTCTGATACCGATAACAGAAGGGTGAGTAAAATCAAATTTCAGGAATATTGAATTGATGCAGATGGTTGAGTGAAATGCAACTTGATTGAGTTAAATATCGACGAAGATGTTAAGGCCATGTGGAAATCATTTCGGCGTCCGATCGAGTTGGATGTGCGGATAATAAGACCCGTCGACGACATAATGAAGATGCTGAAATGTCCAGAATCATTTGGTAGTACCTAGGTTTTCATGTTTAGTTGTTTTTAATTTATGTTTGTACTGTTTTATGTTATGTTCATCTTCGAATCGAAAAATGTAATCGTCAAAATATTATACAATAAATAAGAAGTCTTTGTGCCTCGAAATATACAAATAATACAACCAAAATAAAACAGAACTACATACGCTCCCACGGGGCTATGTCCGCGAACCTAGCTAAATCTGTATAAATCTTACCATCAAAATTTACCAAATCTATGAGGTTATTTAAATAAAAAGTAATAAATTGGAGGTGGCTGTCCTGGTCACCTGTAGGTGGTGGAAGTGGTGGCGGTGACACGTCAGAAACTCTAGCACATGAAGGCTCGGTTACATCAGAAACCCCAGTCAATGGTATGACCGGAGGGTGTGATATGTTGTGATACCACTCCAGGTATCTATCATCGTACTGTCCAGGATCCTTGACCATAACTGATGTATCCTTGATCTCACGGGCAAAGCTGATGATGTGACTCTGGAACCACAAATGTGAGGGGAGTGCTTGTATATCCAACATTACATAAATAAATTGATAACTCATACTCAAATAAATTTATAAACACCCGATACTCAAATAAATGCTAGTATATATGGAATAGGCTCAGATAATAATATACTCAAATAAATGATAGTATATATGGAATAGGCTCAGATAACCAACTAGATGTCTAGTCTCAGGCTGAAAAGTAACTACAAGTGATGTGTACAACATGGTCAACGTCGTCACTCCCCAAGCCCAACATGAAGTGTCTAGTGTACTGAATAAACATACGTAGCGAACATCAATGTAAACACCAGACTTGTCCGCAAAGAGAGTGTATGTCACCAGATGTAGCATGTATGCCCTAGCGGCAGCCTCATACCTATGGGCCCCCACCAGCTTCGCGTACAATGTCCTCAACCAAGACATCCAAAAGTGAAATCCCCGGTTAAAGCCAAACTCCTCTAGAACTCTCGCCTCAGATACCTCTAAATCATCCATAACCATGCACAACGCCGTCGACTAAATAATATGAGGATAAGTGAAGAATGTACCAGTGATCAGGATGTGAAACAAGGCGTCGACATCATCCAATGTGATGGTCATGTCCCCAAATGGAAGATCAAAAGATGATGTCTCTGGGTGCCACTTCTCAACAAGGAGCACTGAGTGAACTCCAACAGATGAAAATCTCTCACAATATGTCTGATGTAACGCCCGATAATTTAATTAATTATTTAATTAAATTATTTTTAGATTATTTGTTGAAGTTGTGAGATGTTGAGAATTGTTGGTATAAGTTGTTAGATTATTATTAATTAATTAATTAGTTGATTAATAATAATAATAATAGTAATAATAATAATGTTGAAATTAATGGAATAATATAAGATTAAGTTGTTGGGCTTATTTATATGGTGGTATGTAGTAAGTGGGGGGTGTAAGTTAGACGCAAATGTGATTACTGAAATAAGGTTAAGCTGATATCAGAAAATAGGTTTTGTCAAGTAGAAGAAGAAGAATAAGGGTTGGAAGAGAGAAAGAGAACGTGAAAGTTGCATAGCAAAGGGAAGAGAGGCCAACCTAGGTTCGATCAAAGAATTATAGAGCGGTCTCCAATCCAAAGTAAGGGTGAGGTTCTGACTCTATATTGGGAATTATGATGCATAGTATGTAGGAATTGGGTTGGTGTAATGTTATTGTGCGTATGTTGTTATTCATGTTCCTGGAATTGTGTGTTATCATGTTGTTATCACGTTGTGGATACTCCTGAATTGGTTGCAGAATTAACTATCTGTTGGTGAAAATTATGATATTGCTGATATAATTGTTATGTTGCTATGTCGATGTAATACTGTATTATATCATGTTGTTGTGAAAATACTGTTAATCGAAGGAAGATTTGGAGAAGCCTGTGTTAGAATCAGCAAGTCTGTGAAGATGAGGCGAGAGAAACACTATGTGTCGAGAGGAACACGAGCATGCCGACCGACATGGTATGGAGAGGAGTGTGCCGAGCGGCACAACTCCATGATGGGCGGCATGACCTTTTTGTTTTGGTGCCGAGGGGCACAATTAGGTGACGAGGGACACACCCATAAATCTCTATTTTCCATTTGTTTATTTTGTCTGTTTTCTGTGTTTGTTACCTTATTAATTGGTTACTAATTGTTATCACAAATTTAATGAATTATGGATAGTAGAGGTTAGGTAATCAATACTCCTTATGGTCTTAGTATGTTATTCCATATAAGAATGATTAAATAACTAAAGATTATATATATATATATATATATATATATATATATATATATATATATATATATATATATATATATATATATATATATATATATATATATATATATATATATATATATATATATATATATATATATATATATATATATATATATATATATATATATATATATATATATATATATATAGCAGATATTAAATTAGTTACAAAATTGTTATGTAGCAGAGTTAGTAAAAATAATAGTTTCATTGATTCAACTAAAAATGATTGGTCAGTGAAATATTTTAGTAGAATTAAATTAATAAGACTTGATCAATATTAGTGTTAGTATATTATTAAGTTGCTGTGATAATGTTGTTGTTAATTGTTGAAGTTGTAGGTAGTGATGAATTTTATTGTGTTGCCTGTATTGATTGGCTAAAATTAAGTTGTAGGCTATTAACAGTATAATAGCATAGTACATGTAGTAGGAATAAGTTGACAGTAAGGGTTAATTGTGAAATAGTAATAGAAAGCTATTAGCAATAAAACAACAGTAGAGAATTAATTAGTAGCACTAGCAGTAGTGAAAATTGTTTATAGCAGTACTAGCTTATATAATAGTTGCAGCATGTTAATATTAGAGAAACCGTCGCAGAACGTCTAATAGTCGAATATAGACGTATAGCTGAATAATTACGTAGTGTTATTGCAATGAGTTTCGATTGTATTTGTGAATTTTACTATGTTGTTGTAATGTCAATATTGTTGACGATGCGAAGTTGCAGGATATACCGATGTTGTTGAAATGCCTCGAATACTTGGCAGATATTATGTTGTAGGCTTACGGCCAAAGTTGAATTATGTTGAGTTGATGTTTAATTGTTGTTGATGTTGTAGGCTTATGTCCAACGTTTATTTATGTTGAGTTGTTGTTTGTTGTTGTTGTTGCTACTTTCATGTTGAGTCGCATACATCACATATCAAGTTGGAGCTGATACTCGTTAAGTTGGCATGGATTGGCAAAATATTAAGTTGAAGGCTTATGACTTGTTGATGCCTCTATTAATTGGCAGGTTCCTAAGTTGGGAGTTTTGCTCCATTGGTACCACATGCATGTGCATCGTATAAGTCGCATTCCATGTTGCATAATTATGTCGTTGTGTAGCTGACTTGTGATGATTGATGTTGGTTGAAAGTTGTGAAGTCCTGATTTTATATGATATGATCTAATATATTATTTATCATACATATGATTGTATTGTTTGATATATCACCCCTTCTATTTGAATGTTACTCCTATGTTGGTAACGTGTAGGTAATCCAGAATGAAGGTTGTTTACCTTCAGTAGTTAGAGTCGGTGTCGTTGCTCTGATACGTAACACTTGGGGGGATGAACGCTTGTTGCTTTATCATTGTGATTACTTCATTTGTTGAATTTTAAGTTGATTTCGTTAAGTACTTGTTGTTTTAAAAGTTGTTTTCAGTTGGACAAAGATGTTATGTCATTTGAGTTGAAAATTGTGATTCCGCTGCTTAAGTAATAAAGTTGTTTCGTTTTAAAGACTAAAATTGTTATTATCTGTTCATCCGATGTCTTAAGTGTTATGTATCTGTTTTATATACGATTAAATGCTGTTGTTATAAGTTGAAAGTGTAGCATCATATTTGTTTGTTGGAAATTTTTGTAACTCTGATTTTATCAATATTCGTCGGGTAGAAATGAGGTATTACATCTGACCTCCTCAGGCATGTCACCACCCTCTAGGAAGTTTTTCAACTTCGAACCATGGTGTGTGACCTTCAGCACCACACGCTCCTGTAAAAAACAAAGTATATTACACATCAAGCCGTTATGAAAAATTTTCAATAAAAAGAAAATAAAATATATACCTCGCCCTGCCATATCATGTATGCGACGTGCTCATAAAATCTTATCAGCACAGACCTGTCTGAAGGTCCTCCTGAAAAGCCTCTATTATTGTGAATTGATGGCTTTGTAGATGCATAATTTGTGGTGTGTGTATCAGTGATATACACCTCAATAACTTGCTCAACAACCATTGTAACACCCTTCTAAATCCACATATATTTCGCATATAT